AGGAGCTGGTGGAGCTGAAGGTTATCTGGAACAAGAACAAGTACGACGTGAAGTTTTGTCTGGACAGCACGGGGGCCGAGCTGAAGCAGAAGATCCACTCGCTCACAGGTCTGTCGGGGCCACCGCCGCCTCTCCCGCCTCAGCCTGCGCCGCCTCTCGCTGCTGTCAGGCGGTCTCGTAATTGTTATTCTTGCCTCTTAGGCCTTCCACCTGCTATGCAGAAAGTTATGTTCAAGGGACTTCTACCAGAGGAGAAAACGTTGCGGGAAATCAAAGTAACAAACGGAGCGAAAATAATGGTGGTTGGCTCTACTATCAACGATGTTTTAGCAGTAAATACACCCAAAGAAGCTGCTCAACAGGAGGTCAAAGCTGAAGAAAACAAAAAGGAGCCGCTTTGCAGACAAAAGGTTATTGATGTCTCAATAATTCCTGGTGTGGGGAAGCTGTCGGATTTACGCGGTTCTCTTGTAATACTCTGCGGTCACCTTTGGGTCCTGTTCTTCCTCAGAGGAGGCCGGGGTTTCTTTTCTCACAGCTAAGTGGTAGAAGAAGGGCTCTGTGCAGAGGAGCTCTAGCAGCAGAAAAACATTTAACCTAACAGAGACTGGGGCTTTGCAAGACACTGCTTGTGCTGGTGCCAGGCACAGCCTAGCGTTTCAGACAAGGAATGATAAATAGTAGGATTATTTCATGGTTGTTAGTTCAAACACAGTCTAAATTACTTGGACATGAAAACTAACTAATTTTTGTTGGCATAAAAGAATTTGCACTCCAAAAACTGCCTTTGAAATGAAGACCAAGAGAGCAGTTCCCCCAGCTGTCCCAGCACTGTAGGGAACATGAATGTTGAATACTTCTCTCGCATATTGAAGTGCTGCCTCCGAATAGGAAGTGAAGCACAGTGCAGTGAGGTTTGCCTTGGTGGCAGCGCTGCAGTGTTGTGGGGCTGATAAAGGATTTTCAGGTCAAGGTATTACCAGCCCCATACCTCCCTCAAAATAAATTTGATTAAAAATTAAGTAGTGCATCATTGAACTGCAATCTTTATGAAACATGCTTTTGTTTTTCTATAATTTATCATAGTTCACGTTCACTGTAAGTTCCATCATTGTTTAAAGGTACTTGGCAAGTTACAAGCTGTGAGCATGGTTTTCTTAGTTACTACTGCTCTAATCTGTTCTGGTTTGGTGCTGTGTTGCGGTATGTTGCACTGTCAGATGTGGAGGGTTTTCTGCCATTCACTGGATATAACACTTGACTGTTAAAACTGTCTTGCCAAATGCCAACTATGTGATTCAGCATGTATGACATTAAAGTGGGACTTGGGGTTCTTTAATTCTTTATAGATATATTTATGTATATGTATATTCTAGAAGGGATGTTACCTTTTGCATTATCTCAGGGGTTTATTCATTTATATAATTTCTTTAGACTGTCATAGAAAGTGCTCGGTTAACTTTGAAAATTAACCACTTCCTGTGTGATAAATGACTGTGAATAGTCCTTAACTGTGTCTTAATGCTGTTGGGATGCGGTCAAGGGTGCAGCTGGAAGTAGATTGAAAAGTTCTGTTGTGTTTGTGTAAATTCTAATTTCTGGTTTTATATTGTAGCAACACAGGAAAGTATTGGATAAAGGAAAACCTGATGATGTGATGCCTTCTGTTAAAGGTGTTCAGGTAAGTAAATAAGTACTTGAGTCATTGTCATAATTGGAAAAGAGAGACGTCTTTTGTGGTTTGAGACCTTTCTTTGGTAGTTCAATTGTTCCTTGCTATCTTAGTAAAAAAACTGGAAAGACGGATCGTCCTTATGCTTAAAAAGTTAAGAGGATATAGATTTTCCTCTTAAAGACCTTGACTGTGACTTAACTATGTTGCCTCTTTGTAGGAACGCCTGCCAACAGTGCCATTATCTGGCATGTACAACAAGTCAGGGGGGAAAGTAAGATTGACCTTTAAACTTGAGCAAGACCAACTATGGATTGGTACAAAAGGTGAGCAACTCCAAAACTCTGAGATGAATAACTGATAATTGGGCTGTAAGTGAATTGTGCGACCTAGAAATAGCTTCTGGTGTGACTAAATTGTGTTTAGGGAATGATGTTGGTGTTGTAATGCTTCAAAACTAAATTTTCCTTCCTCTTCTCAAATGCCATTCTCCCAGATCATTGAATATTACTTGATATTTTACTTCTGTTCTTGAAAAACTTGAGTTCAGTTGTGCCAGTAGACTAATGTTCCAATCTGCTATTCTTAGCTCCGAATGTAAATTATAATGTTTAGCATTTCTAGCATATCTCAAAAGCACTTCATAAACATTGGTCTGGTGCCAGCATCGCAGAGAGGCTCAATGACTTGGCTGAGACTCGAAAGGGAATCTTAGAATGGGGATTAAAACTAGGAGTGCTGGTATCTCCGTCGTTATCCGTCCTTTCAACCAAAATTAGTTGGGTGTCTTGTTTCAGTGATGCACAACTGCAGAAACTGTGGCATGTGTTGCTGTGCAGAGGAATCAGTTTACCGTCTTGAGTGGTGCCAGGAGGAGCTGAAAGTGCCGTGGTGAAAACGTGCATTGCTGAGGACGTCTCAAATAACCCCCTGCCTCCAAAGGAAGCTGTGCTCCTTTAGTTTGACCAGGATGGGGCAATATTATAGTGATGAGCAAGAGGAATATCGGTCCTTGCTCACTGTCCCAGTAAAGTAACCTAATTGGATGGTAATATTAGCTTTGGATGGCACCTCCAGCTGCTACATTATTTCTAAAGTAAGCAGAAATCTCGGAAGTTTTTGACCTTTCCTTTGTAGAACAGTCTTGTTTGTGAAGATTTTTCTGGCTTTAAAACCTCTGTTGGTACTAGTTGCAGTGATTTATTTTTTTATTTTTTTTTTTTCCTCCTGGGCTAAGTAGTGGAGTGAGACATTGTTCTTTTTCCTCTGTAGGTTGGGCAGCCAGATCTTTTTGTTATTGATAATGTGTTCTAAATGCATTATTAATATTTAGGCAATTAATCCTCTCCCTTCACCTTCTAGATGAGTTTAAAGTTTAGTATTCTGAAGTGTTCTAGGTTAGTGTTTCTTAAGCTGTGAAATTTGATTCTTCTTGTAGTCATCTGTCTCTCACGTAACCTGTTTCCCTACTTCCCAAAATTAGCAGCAGCTTGCTTCCTCTAGGGAATGGTTGTAATTGCTGACTGCTGTTGGGACAAACTCCCTCCTGCTCAGAGAAATTCATGGC